TTGGAGGACCACAGGAGGCCATTTACTGGAGGTTTTGGAAGACTTCAGGAGGCCATGTATTGGAGGTTTTGGAAGACCTCAGGAGACCAAGTATTGGAGGTTTTGGAAGACCTCAGGAGGCCATGTATTGGAGGTTTTGGAAGACCTCAGGAGACCAAGTATTGGAGGTCTTGGAGGACCTACAGAAACTAGTTCTTGGAGGTTCTGAAAGACCTGAGGAGACCAGTTGTTGGAGGCTTTGAAGGACCTCAGGGGACATAAACCATCTTATCACCAGGGTTCACTGTAGGAGTGTACTGCTTGGTGGGGAAAACAGTTTGTTTGTTACTTCTGAGACTGATGAAGTCCTCCAGATGGAGGGTGAAACATCTCTCAACAAAAAAAGAAAAACTATCCAGATGTCCTGATTGAACATTGTTGGATATTTTACCTGGATTATTGAGCTTGAATTTTGATATAGTGTACCATTCCTTATTTTAAACATCTGTTTCTTGAGAAAATTTGTGAAGAAAATATAGTTCATAAGATTTGCAAATCCTTGCATTCTGTCTTTATTAACATTTTACAACAACTTCTGTGGAATAAGGACTTGTTTTTGTTGGTTTTTACAGATTGAAACTCACCTGCAGCTGAAATCTCAGTTGGTTTTTTTTGCTCTTCATCCTGTCATAGAAAACAAACTCAGGTGTTCAAAAAGTGAGGTAAGACAGTTTTAAAGGATATGTTGAGCTGTTGTTGGAGTAATTTGAAAGCAATTTTCAAAACGTGAATATATATTTTTTTATTAAGATAACCTGCAGGTTCATGTTTGTAGCTCTCATTTACATGGTTAACTTTTTATTCTAAACAGTTTTCTAATCTGCTGCAGATTCAATTTTTTGCGAGCAGAACTCAGCTTCTCAGGCGAAGCATGATCAGCATTTGGGAATTCAGTTTTTTTTCTGCTCAAAAGTGAACAAAATCCTTAGATTTTATTTTTTACACTTCTCTTTAAGAAACAAGCACAGACTTGCCTTTTTCTTGTCCTTCTTCTTTTTCTTCTTCCTATCTTTCTCACTGTCAGAAGATGAGGATGAAGATCTGGAGTCCTGCTTCAATCAAAAACAACCATCAGTTTGTCTTTTGGGCCAAACAAACATTCACTTTTGACATTTATCACATTCAACATGCTGCTCAAATTTACATTGGAAGAATAAATGAAATGTAACATGCAGTTAAACAATTTTTAGGTTTTCCCTGATATAGATTCTTAAATTTAGCTATTAAAAATTAATTTTATGCAAAGCCAGTCAAAAGAAGAGTACCACATATGGTGCATTATACACATATTAAACTATGACACAGAAATCTGTAGCCAAGGCCCAGACAAGAAAATACTGTGTATAACTTTTGACCTTGACTTTAGGGCCGGGGTGATGAAAAGATTATACAACGTGCCATGTAGTTGTGGTACAAATGTGTGTCAAGTTTTGTGCAATAATCTTGAGTGGTTCAGAAGTTATGGGCAGGACAAAAGAAAGTTTACAGATGGATGGAGACTATTGTATACCATATATGTCTGCCTTATGATGGTTGCATAATAAAATAATAATAATGATAATATAATAATATATCTGTTTTCAGTTGTTTTTTTCTGCATTTTCTTCCAAATCTATAGCGTCCATCCAACCATCCTCGGAGACAAAACATCCTCGGAGACACCTGGCTCTCCTAACCCCCTTCTCTATGTGTTAATCTCCCAAATCAGGATGTTCTCATCCTGACCACGCCTAGATCCATATTCTCTGTGCTAATTAACCCCCTCTTGTGAAGAACAGACATTAAGACTCCAACCCAGAAGTTCATCAAAGAAGTGAACTTTGCCTTACTAACAGACTGTGGTTGCTGTGGTAACAAAGGAAGTAAAACCCAAATGGACAGAATTTCAACAAATATTTTTGTTTGTAACAATAGGGTGCCAGAATCAAACTTGCATTTTGCTGAAAGAAATGGTGTTTATGCAAAACAAGGTGTCACCCTCTTTAACAAATGCTATTGTGTTATCTTCTCTGAGACTTTGAGAAAGAAGGTTATAATTACATTAATTATACATTTGTGTGCACCCACTGTGAGAACACTCTGACTGGTTAAAAATTAGGGGCATGTCTTCTGAAGTGTCAAGTAAACGGGACACCAAAGTCAGTTGTTGTTGAGCAGCTGGAATGAGAGCTTGCTAAAAGTTTCTGAGAGGAGAACTCTCTGGAGAAACAGTCTCGTGATGGAAGAAGTGTCCTGGTGAAGAGTTGGCTCTTAGCCAGTCCAGCCAAGAGATGGAGGAAGTTCTATAATGTGCAAACACCCAGGAGCAAGATGGTACATGCCAAACGAATCATAGCCCTGAGAAAGACATCCTTCTTGGGACAGCAGGCCACCGGCTCTTCCCGCATCCGCTGTGGTAATGAAAGAAATATGGACACACCTCCCCGGTAGGATTAAACATTTTCCTTCTGATGAGAGAACACCAAGTGCCAACTAACTTTGTTTAGACATAGTTTAGTTCATGAATCTGAGATAAGCTTACCTAAATTTTAACGTTAGAGCTAAAAACCTTAGACCAAATTGAATCTATACTCCTTCTCAAAGTCTCTATTAATTACGTCATTCACTTTCTGAAATATTACTATTGGTTATTCATCCATATTTCATATTTGCCATATTTTTCATATTGTCATTATTCCAACTGAAAATAAACGTTACAAAAATGTGTTCTTAAATTACCGGATTCTTTTGTATTTTCTTCGAAAGAGGGGAATTAAATTTGCTACAAGAACTCCCGTAAATATATAATATTTGTGGGGTTGAGCCAGTCAACATTACGGTTAGTGTAAACACCTGATAAAGGGTGCTCAGACCAGCCCTAACTCTACAACAGTAAATATCAGAACTTTGAACATGTTCCACCTTTTTCTTGGCTTTCTTTTTCTTCTTTTTCTTGTCCTTTTTCTTCTTCTTCTTTTTCTTGTCATCCTCACTGTCAGAAGATGATGAGAATGATGAAGAGGAGGTATCAGAAGAACTAGAGATCTGAAAATAGAAAAACAAACCTTGATTTATGAGTTAAAGTTAGAGCTGACAGGAATAGTAATTGTTTTGTTTGTTTTTTCCACACTGTACCTTCTTCTTCTTCTTTTTCTTCTTTTTCTTTTTCTTTTCTTTCTCACTATCCGAGGAAGAAGACAAGGAGGAGCTGGAGTCCTTTAAAATAAATAGAAAAATAGAATTCCTTTAATCACAGTAAAACACCAAAAAAAATCATACAAGTGTAAAATGTACCTTTTTTCGAATCTTCTTTAACTTCTTCTTTTTCATCTTTTTCTTTTTCTTCTTCTCATCTTCACTATCAGAGGACGAACTGTCAGACGAGGAGGAAGAGGATGCCTGCCACAAATTAAATATACCTTTAATATTGGAAGAACTTGTTGTTAAATACAAACCGGATTCCAAAAAAGTTGGGACACTAAACAAATTGTGAATAAAAACTGAATGCAATGATGTGGAGGTGCCAACATCTAATATTTTATTCAGAATAGAACACAAATCACAGATCAAAAGTTTAAACTGAGAGAATGTATCATTTTAAGGGAAAAATCTGTTGCTTCCAAATTTCATGGCGTCAACAAATCCCCAAAAAGTTGGGACGAGTCCATTTTTACAATTTTGTGGCATCCCCCCTTCTTCTTACAACACTCAGCAGATGTCTGGGGACAGAGGAGACCAGTTTCTCAAGTTTAGAAATAGGAATGCTCTCCCATTCATGTCTAATACAGGCCTCTAACTGTTCAATCGTCTTGGGCCTTCTTTGTTGCACCTTACTCTTTATGATGCGCCAAATGTTCTCTATAGGTGAAAGATCTGGACTGCAGGCTGGCCATTTCAGTACCTGGATCCTCCTCCTACGTAGCCATGATGTTGTGATTGCTGCAGAATGTGGTCTGGCATTATCGTGTTGAAAAATGCAGGGTCTTCCCTGAAAGAGATGACGTCTAGATGGGAGCATATGTTGTTCTAGAACCTGAACATAGTTCTCTGCATTAATGGTGCCTTTCCAGACATGCAAGCTGCCCATGCCACAAGCGCTCATGCAACCCCATACCATCAGTGATGCAGGCTTCTGAACGGAGCGTTGATAACATTTTGGGCTATCCTTGTCCTCTCTGGTCTGGATGACATGGTGTCCCAGTGTTCCATAAAGAACTTCAAATCGTGACTCATCTGACCACAGAACAGTCTTCCATTTTGCCACACTTTATTTTAAATGACCCCTGGCCCAGTGCAAACGTCTGAGCTTGTGGAGCTTGCTTAGAAATGGCTTCCTCTTTGCACTGTAGAGTTTCAGCTGGCAACGGCGGATGGCACGGTGGATTGTGTTCACTGACAATGCTTTCTGGAAGTATTCCTGAGCCCATTCTGTTATTTCCTTGACAGTGGCATTCCTGTTTAAGGTGCAGTGACGTTTAAGGGCCCGGAAATCACGAGCATCCAGTAGAGTTTTACGGCCTTGACCCTTACGCACAGCGATTGTTCCAGATTCTCTGAATCTTTTGATGATATGCACGGTTGATGACAACTTAAAAGTCTTTGCTATTTTACGCTGGGTAACACCATTCTGGTATTGCTGCACTATCTTTCTGCGCAACAATGGTGGAATTGGTGATCCTCTTACCATCTTGGCTTCTGAGAGACACTGACACTCTGAGAAGCTCTTTTTATACCCAATCATGTTGTCAATTGACCTAATTAGTGTTAATTGGTCTTCCAGCTGTTCGTTATATGCTCAATTTCCTTTTTCCAGCCACTTATTGCTACTTGTCCCAACTTTTTTGGGATTTGTTGACACTGAAATTTTGAATAAACATATTTTTCCTTTAAAATGTTACATTTACTCAGATTAAACTTTTGATCTGTCATTTGTTATATTACGAATAAAATATTGACATTTGCCATCTCCACATCATTGCATTCAGTTTTTATTCACAATTTGTTTAGTGTCCCAACATTTTTGGAATCCGGTTTGTAAATAAAAAAAGTTATATTTTGTAGCCAGCAGGGATAAATGCTGTAAAAGTTTGTATACCTTCTTCTTTTTCTTCTTCTTCTTCTTGTCCTTTTTCTTCTTCTTCTCCATGTTCTCATCCTCCTCATCCGATGAGCTCAAATCCTGAACACAACGCAGAACAGCATGTGATGAGTAAAACCTTACATGTATTACGGTCTTAAATGAACTACGATCAGAGTTGTCTCTCACCGCCTCCACCTTCAGACCGCCTGCGATCTGCGGCACCACATAGCTGTTGGAAACTGCAAACATCAAACACAGAAAACTTTTAAAAACTAAAAAGCACAGTTTCAGATATGGAAAACTTATAAACAGTCACTATATTACTTGTAGAAGATAGCTTTTTAAATGAACTCCATTTGGAGCACCAGAGAAACTGATGCGCCAACAGGAAGTCTGAACGTAAATGAGGCCAAAGTGGACATTTTATAAACCTGGTGGTTCCAATTGGACTGATGGTTAGACTGGTAATTTAGTGAAGTTTTGAAACCACTCCAGTCTTTCATACTCTGACACTAACATTAAATTTAAACAAGAGGTATACTGATGTCCCCTGTCGCTGAGGGATTTGAATCGTGAATATTTGTAGTTTTCCAGATGAGTGTTTTTCTGGACTGGAATTATAAAGGAATGCAAGGAAACCTTGTTGTGTTGGTGCAAGATGTTCAAGTGGGTAGGAGTTACACTGTGGAGAAGAACGGGGGGGGGGGGGGGTCTGATCCTGGTGAGTGGAGAGAGCAATTTTATCCACCACCAGGAGCAAGGAAGGAGCCAGGGGGTGGCCAGTGGTGGTCTTAACCACCCTAGAGTAATCTTTGGCCACCCCAAGGGCTACCTCAATAATTTGACAAAACTTTAGTAGTTTATTTTAATAGTAGTAGTTTATTTTAGTGTGTGTGTGTGTATATATATATATATATATATATATATATATACATACACACACACATACATACACCTGTCTCCACCCTCATTTGCCCCACTCTGGGCCCTTAACCCCCCCCTATCTGCTCCCCTGGGTGCCCTAGACCACAGCTCTCTGCTCCACACAGAGGGCTATGGTAGCGCGGTCGTCTGTGGTTGCATCAGGAAGGACAAATGGTATAAAAATAATTGCCAAGTCTTCGTGCGACTTAGTTTGCTGTGGTGACCCCTGAAGAAAGGAGCAGATATGCAAATCTGTAGAATCAAGAAAACTGTTTCAAGGAGGAAATGGTGCTCTCTCACCTTCATAAGGTATGATGTTAGGGTCCCAGACGTATATTCTCCCATACTTTACTTTCTTTACCTTCAACTTCTTTTTCTTCTCCTCATCCTGCAGGAACATAAGTATTATTTCTTTTGTACTTATCATTTATACTCTTTGTTAGTAAGAGCAGTCTGTGTTGTTAGAACAGATACAATCGCTGCTCTGTTCTGATTAGAAGGAGTTGAAAATACAGTCAGGATAAAGATGAGGCAGCTTTCAAAAGAGGAACAATTGTTTATCTCTGTTGCAACATCATAATGAACATTTCCACTTTCTGAACAGCCAGAATCTGAGGATTTGTGTTTTCAAGCATTTGTCTCCCTCTTGTGGTCTGTCCTGCTCTCCTCAGTGTTTCTCCCTCTTGTAATCAGCTCCTGCCTCTGCCCCCTGTTCTCCTTCCCCAGGTGTTTGTCATGATTTATTTGTTAGCGTCTGAATACTGTAAGTCTGTGTCTCTGTGTTCATCACTGTCTGGGAATCGTCGCGTATGGTGTTCTGGTTTCGTCTCCCTCCGTGTCTTCCCAGTGGTCATGTAAGTTATGCTCGTCAACTTTTGTTTTTTCTTCTATTAAATCCTTTCAGTCCTGAGTTCTCTGAGTCCTTTCTGCATATGGGGCCCACCAAACACAAGAATCAAAATGAAACTGTGCAACCAACACACAAACCCATAAATGCATCTTTATCTCAGTCATGGTGGCTCTAAATAAAGCAGTCGTCTATGACTTTATAGTCCTGGGTGTGTTCCTCTCCTGTCTGATGCGTGCTGTCAGGCTGAAGACACATGAACCTGTGCTTGTCACCTCAGGTGAAACACAATCCAGTGTTTTGTGCACTGAACAGCTCATGCGACCATCTTACTTGTATTTAAAAATGAAACACAGCGACTGTGTTCAGTCTTCAGCTTCTGCAGAGGCTGCAGCTTTTCCCACACACAGGATTTATTATCCCATTGTTTCTCATTGTTTTTTTATGCTTTTAATTATCTTTTTACTTGATGCTGTGATTTTTATTAAGCAACTTGGTAACGGTTTCTGTTTTAAATGTGCTCTGAATAAATTTGACGACACAGCTTAAAAAAAAAAACAAGTTTTACCTGTCTGCATGCTGCTAAACTCAACAAAACAGAAATATCTCAGGTATTTGTGCTTTATTTCATGTAGAGTCAAAAATGTTGACAAAGCTGAAACTTGAACATTTGAAAAGCGTCCAGACACTTTTACCACAATCATTATCTTAACAAGTAATTTTGTTTCCAATTAATTTAATCACCTTAATGACATAAAATAAGGTATCAATTATGTTTGGGTCCATAGGCCTAATTGGGCTGTTCTGAAGATGTCAGCAGGATTTACATGGACACGTGTGGGATCATCTGAAGCTCGTTGTGACACGGGATATGGTCATGCGAGTGTGATGTGAGCAGGTCTGTCATGACTGACATAGGCAATCAGGACATGCCAGAGCAAGATGAGGAGGGAAGAGGAGCAACTTTCTTGAGTTGTACAAAAAGATTCTCATGACAACTGCACACGTTTTACAGGTGTACTGGGACAATAAATAATGGATCTAACAGGATTTTTCCAACCTTTATTTATACAGGTTAGTCCCGTTGAGCCTTGGGGACTCATTTAGAAGAGAGACCTGAACTTGTGGAAGTGGGAACTTGAAGAAAGCCTCCTACCACAACTGTTGCCCCAGACATCTGATGGAACAATGGAAAACAGGTGAGTCTTCAACTGATCATTTATCAGCCAGGAGCTGATCACTAACCCGCCGGCTGAGACAAACGTGCAGCAGTAAGAGGTCAGTCCCAGGTCAACCTGCTCCTATAGCCACAAAACTGGATCGAACCAGACCCTGACCCCGCTCCAAGATGGGCTGACGTTTCCCTGTGGAGCTCAACACCAGACCTGTTCTGCAGCTGTGACCGTCCTGGAAGGAGAGGAGCTGTAAATGTTGGGAAGTGTCATTTTCAAGCAATGAGAGGAGACCGTGCTGAAGACAAGTTGGGATGGAAGACATGTAGAAACTGAAGGGAGTCCGTGTGCCTTTGTGTGTGCTTAATGACTGTGACATCACATTTTTGTAATAAATACGAATGCGTTTTTGGAAAGATAACATTAATAAAGTATTGCAAAAAAAAATTATGCCAATGAGACAAGTAGTTGTTCAGATATTTACATGTGCAGTAACAGGAAGTGATGTCAAAGGGGAATTTATTCATATGAACTGAGCATTGCCACAATGATTAACACAGACAGCAGAGAAGAATCTGTTTCTTCAGGTTATTTTACATCTCTAACAGAGAAATGGTTATGGAAAAAATAATAAGTGCATGTGACATGCATACCCTACAAATACAAAGTGGAGGAATACGTCTTAAGAATTGTGATGCAATACATATGATTTGACCCATTTTGTCACATCTTTATGGAAAATTATCACAGGGGTGTAAAGACATCCAATGCACTACAGAAATTGGGACTTTGAGGTTTTTTCCTTTGGACTTGGACGACAGATTTTCACTCCTGTGGTCGTCCAGTTGTCCTTGGGTTGTTTGAGCCAGGGGTGATGGGAGGGCTATAGCACCTGCATTTATCCTCGTTAGTGTGCATGAAATTGGTGGGAGTGGTGGCACAGAGGAGAAGGTGGGCTTGTGATTGGAAGATCGCTGGTTCGATGACGTGTACTGACAATATCAAAATGTGGGTGGGAAAGGTCCACTACACCACTCTGGACCATCGAACAAGGACCTTAACATCCACCATCTGCTTCCCTGGACACCCCAGTTAGTAGCTCTCTGCTCCACACAGAGGGCTGTGGTAGCTCAGGTGTCTGTGGTTGTGTCAGGAAGGACATCTGGTGTAAACATAATTGCCAAATCTTTGTTCAAGTTGGTTCGCTGTGGTGAACCCTGAAGTAGGAGCAGCCGAAAGAAGAGAAAAGTGTGCAAAAAAAATCATACATTTGTGATTCAATTTATTGTTATTAGTTATTTTATCTAGTTCTTCCAAAACTCTCATCTTAACACAGTTTTATAAACGAACACTGCTGGTAATTTTTTGTCTTCAGTTCATGTATTATTTCTTCTGTAATAATCAGGTAATCTAAAGTTGGACAAAAAAGTTTTCAACTTTTGTTTATTTTTTCCTTTAACACAAAAAACATGATTACAAAGAAAAACAAACGAGCAGCCTTCACCCTCAGCAATGTAATAAGTAAAAAAAAAAAAGATGAAATAATCACCACTCTCAAAAAATAAAGATTAAAAAACCGTTCAGCATCGCCATCTCCATCAAACTAAATATGTATGTGTAAAAATAAAAAATAAAAAAGGAGAGGGGGAACCTCCAGAAAAAAAGACCAGAAATATACATATTATGAACAAAAAAGAAAAGAGGGAAGGTAAATAAGTAAATAATAATAATGGCAGCTAATCTGGCACAGAGGGAAAGATGGTTCCTTTAGCCAACGGTTGCAATGGTTGCCAAGTATGTGTAAATTGCTCAGAGAAGCCGTGCAGGGACATCCTAATTTTCTAAGGTTTAAGAAAGTAAAGGATATCCCTGAGCCAGTGTAAACAAGAGGGGGGATGAGGCATTTTCCATTTGAGTAGTATCACTCTCTGAGCCATAATGGTCATAAAAGCTAGATGGGGTTAAAGGGGGGCCCTCCAGAAAAGACCCCAAACAAAGCACTTAAGGGTTTCAGGTAAATTTATCTTCCAACCACCTCAGATATAGCAGCAAATATCTCCGTCCAAAAGGCATTAAGCTGAGGGCACTGCCAAAACATATTAATAAGATTTGCAGGGGACTGTTGACATCTGTCACAAGCTGGAGAGACCGTGCTATATATTTTAGATAAACGGGCTTTAGTGTAATACACACGGTGCACTAACTTGCATTGGATAAGATGATGCTTCACGCAAAAAGAGGATTTATGTACCCGTGTCTGAACATGTGATCAAAGCTCATCAGAAATATTCTTCCCAATATCTTGTTCCCAAAAGCTCCTAATTGAGTTTAAAGAGTTTGGATGGAACGAGGTGATTAAATTAAAGAGTCAAAATAGAGACCTTTAGCCAAGGGTGGACAAAAACAAGGAATCCAGGTCAGAGACCTCAGACAAATGGGGAAAAGTGGGGAAATTACTGCAGATTTGTAGATATCAAAAAGTGGTGTGATGGAAGAGCAAATCTGTCTGCTAGTTGTGCAAAGGAGGCAAAAACATCAACGAATAAGTCCTTGAAGGACCGTATGCCAAGATCTTACCAAGCTATGACGGTTTTATTCACAAGAGAGGGAGCAAAGATATGGTTTGCTGTGATAGGTGCATGAAGAGATCAAAGTTGAAGGCCAAAATGACGCCGGAATTGAGTCCAGATTTTAAGGGAAATTTTGGACCATTTTATTTTTTTGTATATTCTGCGGTAGAAAATTGGGTTAGTGAATAGACCAGAGCCATGAGAGAGACAAGTTTAGCAGAATTTGTCTCAATAATGAACCAGTCTGGGAGAAGGGAAGTTCCACCTCAAGCCAGTATTTAAAAGATCTAATATTGGAGGCCCAGTAGTAGTACCTAAGATTGGGCAAGGCCATTCCCCCAAGCCGTTGAGGCCCCTAGCCAACCTCGGAGTATTTCTCTCCCAAAGAAAGATAGAAATAAGAGTGTCTACCTGTTTTAAAGTTGGAAATTATATGGAAGTTTTTATAAAATGATGTGTATTTTATTTATTTATTTAAAATCTGTTTTAAAGCCATAATAGCTTGTGTGTTGTTAAGACTGAAGTGTATCTGTCAATGTTCGAAGGACAACGAATGACTCAATTGTTGGCAATAGAACTTGACTCTGCTGATTTCACTCATTTATTATAAATGTAGACTTGTTTGTTGAGAATGATGCGTACTTAGTGTATGTCTAGCATCAATTATACATATATACAAACAAATTATAACTGTAAACTTTGAAAACTTGTGTATTTTGTCAGCTGTCATGGATCTAACCTGGCAGCTGTCCACGTTGGGTTGGGTTTCATCAGACTGTTAGCTCATCATTCCAGTCAGATGACCTCTATTTAAACTGAGGTCATCTAAAGAGCTATACCTACAACAGGTGAGATATCACATGTTTACCTTCACATAGAACCACTCTTTGAAAAAGTCTGAACTGTCCACGACTTCATGAAACATTAATGTCAATAAATCTTTCAAGGACCATTTTAAAACTCTTCAGATTATTTTAATAAACTATTCCACAGTAAAGTTAATTACCTTCAACTACAGCTGACCTCAGTTCACTGCCAGGCAAGGAAACAAACACTAGAATCCACATTTTTATTTTGAAACTCAAACTTGGTGTTGTTCCAGCATTGGGTGTCAAACTGCATCATTATTTAATGAGAATGGATCGTTAGAGCAGAACCTTTGGACAGAATGTCCACTGCATCATGAAGACAGGTGTATTTGGCACAAACCAGAGATATATCTGGTTACACAAACTGTCAACAACAGTGAGGCATGAGGGCGGAGGCATTATGATTTAAGCTTTTCGGCCTCGGGGCTTGTTGACCTACAAAAACGCACAGTCAAAGATAACATGAGGGCATCTGTGCACAGCTGGACTGGAAAAGGACGTTTCAAAGCGAAGCCATTTCAGAACACCTAAAACTACATGGAAGGATGTGCAGAGTAGTAAACATTACCAAAAAATATTATAAAAAAAAATAAAAATATGGGTGACATGTTTTCATGAACAATTTCACTAGATGCTATCAGTTCATAAAATTGTTTATTTTGCACATTTTAAAGAACCAGTGCTAATAAATACAAAAATAAATAAATGGTCATAACTGGGAACTGCCATTGCAGCGCAGAGAAGAGCAGTGCACCGCATATCTCTAGAACTGATTAACGTTTGGAGCCATTTTGATTCAAGATGGCTGCCACAGCTACCGCAGCAAATACTAAATTGACTAGAACTCGGCCATTCTTTGAGATATTGAGCTGAAATTAAGTATGATTGTAGCTGAGAGCGAGTTGTAATACATTCCTAATGAAAATCATCCAACATGGCCGCCTTAGCTAAAAGAGAAAAAATATGATAACTCAGCCATTTTTAAAGATACTGAGCTGAAATTTGGCGTGTTGGTAGCTGACCATGATCTCTAATGATTGAAAATCAAAAATCCAGTATGGCTGCCTAAGCAAAAAAGGAAGAATACTATAAATCAGTCAATTTTAGTGATACTGAGCTGAAACTTGGTGTGGTGATAGCTGAAAATGTTTCCTATAAAATGATGTATCAAAATCAAAAACCCAAGATGGCCACCAATGCTACATTTAAATGGCTTTAACTCAGCCATGTTGACACATACAAAGCTGAAATTTGGTGAGGTTGTAGCTGAGAATGTTCCCCATCATGTACTGAATACAAATCAAACATCCAAGATGGCTGCCTTAGCTAAAAGAGAAAATCTATAACTCAGCCATTTTTAGAGCTATTCAGCTGCAGCTTGTTATAGTGGTAGCTGAGAGCAAACTCAAACACGTATTACTGTAAAATCAACTATTTAAATTGGCAGCAGCCTGACAGTCCCCGTCAAATTCCTCCAGGAACATTCTAGTATTCATATGTTATCATGTTTACCATGTTATCAAACTCCATAGATTAAAGCAATAAGATTTAATCATTTCCTGTTTAAAAAGGACAGCAGAAAGGAAATGCTTATTAATTTTTACCTTCTTTAAAAACAGCCCAACCATTATATTACTGCCTAAACATACACACCACGTCATTAATGTGATTTGAATATTTCTAATTGTGTGTTTTCCAAAGAGGGAACCTGCATTTCTTGACGTTATATTGAACGGATGAGTGAAAACGTTGGTTTTTCTTTGCGTATAGTTCATGTATTCATCTTGGCATGTGAGAGTAGCACTGGTTTGCCTTGCAAAACGTGTCTAAAACAATTTGTGTGATTTTTTTTTTTTTCCACTTCTGTAATCCGATCCTCGACCAGCACTTGTCTGTCCACAACTTACCTCACTGTCACTGTCAGAGGAGCAGCTGGAGGAAGAAGAGGAAGAACAGCAGGAGGAGGAGGAAGATGATGATGAGCTGGAGTCCTGTCCAGACAGAAGGAAAGCGAGTGTTCAGTTTAGTCTTGAGCTCGAACAGCTGCATCATAATTATTCAACCTGAGAGGGCGAGTCAGTGAACGGGGCGAGCTGAGGTGTCTGAGAGGAGCTGGTGGAGCTGCCAGGAGGAGGGTGGAGCACCCCAAACACGCACAAAACACACACCTACTATAACAATGCTGTGAGTCAATGGTACAACATGACAGGTGACACATAAAACACAGTGAAAATTTCCACTTGTCTCCTCATGCGTGGCTGCGTCATTGTTTGGAGCTCACGTCTTATTCACGTGAGGCTTCCAGTCGAGGCAACACCCTGGAGGATCGCCTGCCATGCACTGACTTGTTCTCATCATGTTAAAAACAGGCTAACCGTCCCAACCTCACTGAGGTTTGTGCAACACCTACTTTCTTCTTCTTCTTTTTCTTCTTCAGCTTCTTCGTCTTCTTTTCTTTCTTACCGATCCCCTCATCCTCGCTGTCTGGAAAGCTATCAAGCGAACAGATCTCCTGATTTTAAAAAAAAGAAAGAAGCATTTTGTCATTTATGTGTCCATCTCAGCTTTTAGAGTCAAATGCAAACAAACTCACCAAGTCATCGCAGGTTCCTTTAGGGTGTCCTGTTTGACCCGGGTGTTTCTCCTTCTCGCCCAGATCTGCAGGTTCTACCGCCTCAGGCTGGCCGCCTCCAGGGTCTGCTCCACCTGGAGCTGTTCAAAGTGACAGCGTTAACAAAAGGAGCACACTTATGTTGTTTGCAGTCTGTGGTGTAGTCTACATTTTTGTAGTGGGTATACGGTGCCAAAGTACACTAGTACAATGTAATCAATTTATTTTGATTTTTAAGCATATTGAGCATTTCCAAATTTCTCTGATGCTTATATTTGAATAAATGTACAACAAACTTAGTACAACCGTTGGCTTTGTATTAAAAATATGTTATAAAATATATAAAACAGTATCAAAGCAAAATATGTTCAAGTATTAAGTAGTAAGTACAGAATCATACAATAATTTGCTGGATAAGCGAACGTAATAAAGTGCTGCATACCAATAGATGGTTACAGCAGCATTTAACTGTCGTTAAACGTATCAATGACACATGCCTAATGATATGTCATTGGACACTTGTAAGTGGGTACACTGAAATAATTAAGCTTTTCTACTAGGTATACTCTCTTTACCCGAGTATCGTGTAGAATACACTGTTTGAATTGAAGATAAAATATCTGTTGAGCAACCAATTATATA